ATGTAGCAACAACATTTGATTGGGAAAGTGTGGTGGCCAATTGCAATTTATAGAAGTTTTCTAGTTAGTATAGACAAGACTCATCACCAATAATGTGAAATATATACATATTTTTTTTGTATATTTTCTCTTCATGTTTCATTTTCCCTTAAAACGGTAAATATCATGAGAATATTTTGTTTAACCGTCACGATCAGTGATTTTTTCATATAATAAGTTGATCACTATGATAAAATCTTGTTTTATAAGACATAAAAATGTCTAAATATCATAATAGACTGCTTCATGAGACGTAAGTTTATATGACCTAGCAATTGTGAGCCTTATTTAAAGTGTTACAATAAGTTTATAAGACACTTTTGTGCATCTTAAAATATTTTTAGAACATTTTTAAAATAAAATGTTCTATTAATTTTTCATATTATATTATTTGAAAAAAAAGATATGTTCTATAAAAAATATTCAATAAAGGTTAAGATGTGCATCCTATCTTATAATAAGCAACTGGATGTTTCCAGCTTGGGACTTAGAGTAAGCAAGAAGCGTTCTTGTTGAGAGTAGGGGCGCAATTGCTGAGTGAGTGTTAATCCTACTCGAAAGGGAGTGATCGCAGTACTAGTCGTAGGGCACAAAACGGTCTAACAATAAGGTTGGAGGGAGTGAGACCACCATAACTTTGGAATCGGGTTCGATGTCATTCACTTGGATGCCCTTATCAAAGGATATCTAGCTCTCATTCCCTTCACAAGCCAAGGACAAGATGAATCGATTGCCCTGCCTCCAAAAATGTGTTCTTAAGATACTTACCTTAAGTGTACTATAGACAAAATAATATAACACTTTATTTAATAGGATCCTAAAAAACTTGTTAAGACACTCAAAAACATCTTATCCATTGATTGTAACATTTTTCATATTGAACACACGATTGTTTGGTTCTATAAACTTAAGTCTTGTAAAATAGTTAAGTATGCCATTTTTACATTTTTATATTGTTAATGTGTTATAAACTCAATTTTATTAAGGAAATTGTTTAAAAAAATAATTACACCAAGATATGATTAAAAAATGTTTGATTTTTCAAACTTCAAACCAAATAAAATTGTTTTTCACAACTATTATAATGTTATAGAAATATGACTTTAATGTAAAGCTACAAAAATAATCGTAAGATGGTATATTATTTATTACTTCTGATTTATCATTATTTAATAAATGTTTGTTGCGTCAAAATCTTATTTCGGATCCTATTCTCCATCAACAACACCACATACCACAAACCACAAACCACACAAAACACTATTGTGCATGTTACAATATACAATTAGGTTTATAAGATGTTAAAAATGTTACAATATACAATTATCTTTTTAAACATGGGATCTGGTTATGTCGGTACCATCAAGTGAATTACGCTTTAAGTCATATGTTTTGAAGTAATCATCGCCACCTGTCATCTGATGAATTGTCATACCTTGCGTTACCAATCCAGCCAGGACTTTAGGCACGAGGTGAATTTGTTGGTCAAAATTTGCCACCCTAATAGAGTGCAATTTCTTGGAGCTATTACTGACAAGAAACCATTAAAGTTGATCACCGAGGTTCTACGAGGGGTAAAACTATTGCTTAACTCTTAGTTAACGTAGAGATTGAAAATCATAGTCTTAAGGTATGAACATTGATCTTTTGGTGTCTGGGATCTTCGTATGTGTTTGAAGGAAAAGGTGCTCTTAATCTAACAACAACTAAAAAACTTTTTTTAGACATTACCAGCTACTTCTTATATTGTTTTAAAAATATATATCGTTTGTCACGTTTGTCGTTTCCATTGATTTAATGATATTAGTTTTTAATGAGAATGGTCATAGTGATACTACTTGTGAAAAATGTGTTCTTTGTTAAGCCGAATTTGCATTTTTTTTTTTTCTTTAGAAATGAAGATATTCAGGTTTTAACAAGAAAGGAAAGAGGGGATTGACCTAACAGAGTGAGACTATTACTTTGTCAAAAATGGCACTATCTAGGTTTTAACCAGCTATTCTTCTTTCTTGAGAGACGGCCTTTTCCAAATCCGAGATTGCAATTCAAAATTCAAAATTTCAGATATGGATATTACTTTTCTGTTACCTTCTTTGCTTTCAGTTTTAGTAGGTGGGATGAAAACTTTTTAAATATAAATTTGACAATCTGCTTTAAGTTTTCTAGGATGGTGATATGCAATGTTATCATTCATTTATTTCTTTTTCTCCTTCTTATATCTTAAATTTGAGTCTTTTGTTATCTTATTTTTCATTTCTTATTTTATGTTATTAATCTCTAATAAGATTATTGAATACAAATTTCACCTTTTAAGAATGTTGTGTCTTCCATCTGTGCTGCAGCATTGAGAAGAAGCTTGGGAAATAAGAGCAAAACATAGACCAAAGAGATATGCTAAAGACAACTTTTTGTATCTTAAAGAACACATTTGGAACTTGGAAGTAGTCATAGCCAAATCGGCCTACCCGGCCCAGGACCGGTTATGGGACCGGTTGGAGTTTTTGATAGTTTCGTGAGACCGGGACCGGTTATGGGACTGACTATGGACCGGCCCGGCCCAAAAATTCAAATAATTTTATAAATAAATGTATTTTTACAAGACAATGTAAGTTTAATTATATTAAAACGTATTTTTAAAGTGTATTTGAGTGGCCCAATTGTAAATTTTATAATGTATTAAAAATATATATCATTAAAAAATATATTGTTTTTTAATGCCGGGACCGGGACCAGCGGCCCATAACCGGTTATGAAATACCTTAAGCAGTCCTACCAATTTCGACCGAGGCCGGGACCGGGACCGGTTATGGCCGGATATGAGAAAGTTTGAAATAAAATGTCGTATGAGTTATTTTATATTACATTACTTAAAAAGAATCATATCAACACAAATGCCCTATAAATAGATAAGTTTATAGGACATTTCTCAAAAAAATTCTATAAAATAACTACTACAACACTATTTAAAAAAACATTTTAAAAAACTGGTCAAAACGCTTAAAAATCCCTCGTAAACTTGTTGTAACACTTTTAGATATAATGTTTTATAGCTTGGTCATATGAACTTAAGGGGCCGTTTGGTTCGCAGAATTCGAAGGAATTTGATGAAATTGGAATGACAAATTCCTTTGACCAAATTCCAATTCTTTTGTTTGGTTCATTTCTTGAAATGGATGGAATCCTTCAAATTTCATTGAATTCCACAAGTTAATGAATTCATCATTCCTTGGCATAATGGAAGGAATTGAATTCCATCATCATCTACCACGATCATGTTATTATTGTTCATGATGCCACACCCTTAACCCCCCCCCCCNTTCAAATTTCATTGAATTCCACAAGTTAATGAATTCATCATTCCTTGGCATAATGGAAGGAATTGAATTCCATCATCATCTACCACGATCATGCTACTATTGTTCATGATGCCCCACCCTTAACCCCCACCACTGATGTCGCTGCCACCCACCCTACCCTACCCCCTATGCCACTACTGTTGTTATCACACACACCCACCCTCCGGTCACTCACTACACATCCCTACTACGACTATGCTACTAACGTTACTGTCACACCCCTAACCTAACCCCCACCACCATAACATTATTGTCGTCGTCACAATTGCCACTCACCCTATCGCACCCTACCCTTACCACCACTAGCCACTATGTCACTACTTTCGTCATCATACCCACCCACTCCCAATCACCCTGACCATCATCCCACCACTATCATCGACACAGCTGTCACTGATCCCCACCTCCCCGCCCATGCCGCCCTTAACCTAACCCTTCACCCCCACACTAATATTGTCGCCTTCACAACCGCCCACTCCCTGGCCCATGCCGCACCCCACCCTACCCTAACCCACCACTAAACACCATGTCACTATTATTGTCGTCATACCCACCCACTCCCTGGCCCAGCCACCCGACTACTATCCCACCACTAGCATCATCACAGCTACCACCCCGCCACCTACCCCTACCCACCCCACCGTCCTGCCTTGCCCCCACCCGACCTTACCCGACTCTAACCCATCACTAACCACCATCCTACTACTGTAGTCATCACAACTATCACACTGCCACCTATTGCCCCACTCTGGCTTCACCCCTGCCTGCCTTGCCCCACCCCTGCCTGCCCGCAACAATCCCCACCTATGGAGCAGGGTAGGGCAGAAGTAGTGGGGGCAGGGCGGGTGATAGTTGTGACGACGATATCAGTGACATGGTGGCTGGTAGGGTGTAGACGGGGCGATGGATGGGATAGTTCATACAAAGATGATTGTTCCAATTCTATTGAGAGATTTCATTTCAATTCCTACCAACCCAACACATGGTCAAATTCCATCAAATTTCATTCCAATTCCTTCAAAGTCAAATTCCTTTGATGAATTCCAATTCCATCAAATTTCATTCTATGAACCAAACACCCCCTAAGTGTTGTGAATTACTTAATTCGTCAAATTTATGTAATACTACATCGTCACTCCAACCCAACCTACCTCAACCCGCAAAAGGTCGGGTTAGGTTATACTTTTGAATGGGTTAGCTCTATCGAGATTTTTCCAACCGCGATGAATAGTTTGGGTTGTAAAAATGTTGTAAACCGTCCAACCCAACTCGCATATACCTCTACCTACCACATCATTCAAAATTTTCACCATAATTTAGCACCATGGAACTGTTAAATATAGACCTAGAAGAATTTATTGGTGAATCTTTCAGGAAGAAGTGGAGATGCAAAAGATTATTTCTACAGATCTCCATTTCCCATGATCAATGGAACCTGTAAGAATCTCCATTTCCCATGATCTTAAAACAATTTTTCTTTCTGTTTACCACTGTTGTAGAAAGTATCTACATTACACTCCTTTAGGTTCCATTTAAGCATGCACTAGAAGTGAGATGGAAAAATTGAAAATCTATCTAAAAATTTTCACATTTTCTTTCTTATTTTACATCCCGTTGCATTGTACGTACGGGTATACAACTAATATGTGTATATATATAATATATGTGTGGTGCACACCAGACAAAAATAGGCGACAATTAAGTGACATGGTGCGGTGCGAAGTGATTCCTCTATGCATAACATCCACCGTTGGGTTGAAGAATAATGTTGTTGTATCTGCATTTGCAGCGTCAGGAGAAGTGATTTGACACTGGCTGACACCACATGTCACTTTGGGCAGCTTCTGTATTATCTTCAAAAATGTACTTTCGAAACATGGTTTTCCAATCGTCTATTTCTTCCTTCCTTTTTCTTAACATCATAGTATACTAAAACCAAGTATCAGTCATCCACTATATAATCTGTATCTACTCGATTAATATGCCAAAACCATGTTCAGTTAGTCATCATGTATGTTCACTAGTTGAAGATATATATATATATATATATATATATACTTGCCTACTCTTACCATGCTCATGCTGCTACTAGTGAAAAATGTTTCCACTTGCAATCTTCAACATAACAAAATTAACACTTCCCTTATTCTAACAAGACTTAATAATAAACAATCCATCCTCAATCACACTTTTCTCCATTAAAGTTAATACCTGACAGAGGTGACGAGCTTCAGAAGCATGTCAACAACGTCATGTGATATTCTGTCTGCCTCCATCTTTAACTGTTCAATTTTCACCTCCGTTTCCTTCTCTAGTCGCTTCACATTCGCACCCGAATCTCCACTTGTCTGTCATGTTTCACATATGATTAGAATACGACGAATGTAATTTATAATTACACAACAAGATTCCCTAAACAAACACTTATTTTCAAACTTCTAAATTTACCTCTGCAAGTTCCCTCTGATAATTAGCTTCCATTTGAGCACGAAATTCAGCAACCTCCTTCTCAGCCTCTTCCTTGGCCTGCTTAAGTCGAGCCAATTTTGCTGAAAACAGAAAAAGGATCAATTGCACCAAACATCAGTTATCATGCAATATACACCAAGTGCCTGTGTTACAACATTACTGACATGCTTCGACTCTTCTGGTCAAACTAGACATTCATAAATCCAAATGAATGGGTTGACCATTCACACAATAACAGAGGTCTATATCTTCAAACTATAACATTGATCTGATGCGAAAAAGGACCATAAACAAGTCAAGCCAAGATGAGAGTTTTTGGCTAGGGCAATAAACAAATTAAGACGAGATGCGCATTTGCAGTGCACAAATTCAACCAAGAAGTTGGTCAAGTCGTGTGGCACCCAAGTTCGACTCTCGTAAGTTCTTAGTTCTATGAGATGAGTCTTGCGATATAAGGATTCGACCTTCCTCTTATTGGAGTCTGGTAACTAAACCTACTTATTATTTGTATTTGCTCTAGCAACAAATTAGACAGTGTAATCTTAGACTACTAGTAACTATACTTTCTTCTAAATATATAACATACTAAAATGTGGTATCTTGTTCCAAGCAGGACGGATGGCTATTAAATTCTATAAATATCAAACAATCCTGTGTACACCTGTGCGCAAGTTATTAGATGCAAATGGTGACCATGACAAGTTTGAAAATTAAACTCCATAGTCGGTAATAATTTGATTTATTACCATTTAAGTAATGCTATGGGTTTCATTGATTAAAGTCAAGTTGATCAAAAAATAAATGAGACAAGTCAAACCACATAGAGGTATATCAAGGCCTGGCTAATTTGACTTGGCAAGTCAAACCAAACTTAGTTGATGTGCCAAGTTGGATCAAGACTTTTATGAGCCAGATGTTAGAGTAAACCTGACTTGTTCACAACCTTACATTTCAGAGAATTCAAAGTTTCTCTCTAACTTGGAACATAAAAAGAAAGTTTCATCAATCTTAAGCATATATAGACTTATAATGCAATAATGATATATGCAAAAAAGATACAGACCGTTACGGGCAGCATTCACTATCTGCTGAGCTTCTTGCTCTGCAGTTAACAAGAGTTGAATTCCATTTTGGTGCCTGCTCGAATCCATGTGTGCCAAGCGCTAACACACCAAGAGGCTGCAATACGACAGAGAGTTAAAAAGATCAAAAGGATGCAAAAGAAACCAAGCACCCAACCCTTCCCTTGTATATCAACGATAAAAAACACTGCATACTGTCTTGAACAGTGTAGAGGTTGTGCTGCCAAGCAGGCCCGCCCTTAGACCATAGTTGAAAATTGGTAATTACACAATAATATATACTCAAAAAACCTTGCCAGTCCCATCAAAACTAATTCGAGTAGAAGACAACATTAAGAAAACATGAATTCCAGATCTCATGGCTGCGAAAAAAGGCAATACAACAGGTAAAGAAGCCCATTTAAACAATCGTAAATCCATGTAAACGATTTGGTAAAGGAACCTATGGTAGACCCCAAAGAAAGATGAAAAGTCCAAGAGAGTATGTTGACTTATATCGGTTGAAGCAGAGTGATCACAACCGCATCAAGCACTGAAGGAAACAACATAATTAAATATAAGTTGATGATGGTCATCCCTCTCAGTCAGGGTGTCAGCGAGGTAAAAGGTGGGGGTGGTAGGGTTAGGGCTTCGCAGTTAGGTTACCAGTATCCTAACTTAGGTTGAGGGTTGTATGGCTTTGTTTCCTTGTACTAGCCTCTGTTTTGTGGTCTTATTTGCTCTTAATTAGCCTTAGTTCTTTCTAACTTTCAACATATACTTCTTTCTGATATCTAATTCTCCATACTTTATGGGCAAGCTTTCTTGTTTTGCTCGCGCTTTGAACAATCCGCATCTTTCAAATCTGCATTCATCTCACCAGTCACCCCCTCCCTCAGTGGGACTCAGCTCTGGGTGGGATACACTGGGAAGTTTAGTTTATGGAGAAACCCTCCAACGAGATTTTTCTAACAATTACTTAAGCTCACACCACCTACGTGGTGAAACAATATATACTTCTTTCTGATATCTAATTCTCCATACTTTATGGGCAAGCTTTCTTGTTTTGCTCGCGCTTTGAACAATCCGCATCTTTCAAATCTGCATTCATCTCACCAGTCACCCCCTCCCTCAGTGGGACTCAGCTCTGGGTGGGATACACTGGGAAGTTTAGTTTATGGAGAAACCCTCCAACGAGATTTTTCTAACAATTACTTAAGCTCACACCACCTACGTGGTGAAACAATATATAGTTTTTTCTGGCTTTTCTGGTCAAACAGGCCACTCCTAGGATACGTGCTTAAAGAACGTTTTCCCACTCTAAATATCATCCAAAGCCTTCTAGAACCTTCACACCCTTCCTAAACCTGTATTGACCCTAATCTGAATCCTAGGGTTGTGACGGCAAGGATGGAGTCTTCCTGTGGTCTCAAAGGCCTCTGATCATCCTTAGCAAGGGTAATTTGGGTTCTTTGAGAGGTTCCTTGCCCTAAGCCTACTTTAATGTATTCACTAACGTACTTATTATCTCCAACCTTGTTTGACCATAGATAGGTATCAATTATCATTAAACCTTTAGCTCCTCTGTCTCATATATACCCTCCACAGCCTCCATTACACCCAATCTAACATCATTGTTTTGTCTGAACCTGCACAAAGTCTCATCAAACCTTCTGCAGTCAAGTTTGACATATTTGAGGTCCAAATTGAGGTCCAATAACTCCTTTGCAATATTGTTAAAATACAAGGGAAACTTTTTCGTTCATAAAGCCTGAATTTCATAAAAGTCATGTTGTTTCAGTATCATGTTATCATTGGTGTGATCCTCGGAATTTATTGGGTTTTTCATAAATATTCCAAGGTTATGTTTGCAATTTCCTGATATTTGGATCTTTTGCAAACCCAAAAGATTAGAAACATTATTAACCAAATGTAAGAAGTTACAAGAACCGCCCAGTTTTGTCATCCTCATTGGTCACCACTCATCATGTTTAATCATTATGTTGAGTATCCAATTTAACTGAAACGCCGTCTCAGCTGACTCCTATTCTGGCAATCCTCTTCATCCGGCGAAATTGCAGTTAAGACCCAATACTGTGAGTTAATTCCATGTCATATTCCCACATGCTCCTAAGCAACTAGAAATACATGTACTGGAAACCCTAAAAACAATCAAATTGGTCAACTCTTCATCTCAACCCACAACAACAGCACACGGATCATCACAAATTATGCTGGTCATATATTACTTAATGATTGCAGACTCGTTTTTAAACAGTCGCTGATTTAAATAATCAAACTGTATTCAACAGCTAGATTATCAAACCTATCACTAAACAGACAAAGATTCAACAAAATACAAAAGTAAAAGGGAATGGTCGGAAATTGGAATTTTGTGACATGTCAGCGGATCTACTATATCAGACAAAAATTGTAGCGTTTCGTAGCGCAAATTCCTTTTTTTGGTTATTGTAGTGTTCCAAAAAAAATGTGTTACCAGCAGTGCATTCGAGGTCAGAAACCAGATCCACCGCATTACTTTTGACAAAAGAAACAACCTGTAAGTTCAAAGGCCTGATCATCTTCACCAAGTTGACCAGAACTACCACGAGAGATACTAATAAATCTAGAGAAGAGTCCAGAAGCATGTTATCAACGATCTGATATGTAATTGTTAGGATGCAAAATTAATCAGAGACAACAACCAATGCGATGCACAAATTAGGCAGATCAAATACAAGATTCAACAAAAGCATACAAATAAAGCAGAAGATCGAGCCAGATTTAGGGGAGATTACGTACCTAAAGAAGCGTTCGTCGAAGATGAGAGTGACGAGAGAACTACGTCGTGGGTTTCTGGAAAAATCGGGACTTTGATGACTAAAACTTTACATTAGAAGATCTAAAAACTGTCTATTGTATAACAAATTAGTCTTGGTCAAATATGACCTCCCATCTTTTTATCAATTACACTTTAGTCCTTATGATTAATAAAAACTAAAAATGTGAGTCTAATGGGGCATTTGATTCGCAAGATTCTAATAGAATCTGAAGAAATTTAAATGATGTTGATCGAATTTTATTTGAACATTTGGTTTACCTAAAATGGAATTGAATTCCACATATTCCGCGATCCATGGATATGGTCATTCCATCACAATTGAGAAGAAATTCAATTTCATTCAATCTCATTTTCTCAAACAGACAAACTTATCCCCATCTTCCGTACTTGTTTTACCTAAACCCATATGACCTCCATTTGAACAACCGCCAACCACCACTTCTGAACTACCGATCTAAACCACCAATCTAAATCTTTGTCGACCACCACCGATTTGAAACACTTTCGGCCACTACGATTTGAACCATCGATAACCACCACGAATCTGAATCACTGCCTACCACCACCAATCTAAACCACAGCTGACCATCAACGATCTGAACCATCGTCGATCGCCGTCGTTTAGAACCACTGTTGACCACCACCATTATGAGTCATTGTCGACCACACACTGATCTGAACCACCATTGAACACCACCGTTCTAAACTACCGTCGACCACTACCGTTCTAAACTACCGTCGACCACTACCGTTCTAAACCACCACCGACCACCACCGATCTGAGTCACCGTTATGAATTACAGTCGACCACGACAATTATAGAAAGGATATTTCGGTCATTTTCTGTTTATTCATTCTAATTCTGAAGCTATATTCTACCAACCAAACATGAAGATTCCATGTCATTTAAAAGATTTCATTCCAATTCATTATAATTAAATGCACGGTCAAACTCCATTCTAATTCTTTTCAAAGTCAAATTCATTTGACAGGTTGCATTTATTCTGAAAAGATTCTGTGAACTAAACGCCCCCTAAGAAACCATTCACCAACTGCATGTCGAGTAAGTGATTGCTAGCAACAGTCACCACCCTTATTTACCTTATTGGATAACATTTTTGGACATCAAAATGGATTGTTATTAATCATCTCTAACCCAGTAAGCACTAACCGGGTAAGATTCTCGAACCTTTCCATACTCATCCAATAAGACAAGTGACACATACCAATGGGTCTTTAACCTAGCGGCATCATAGTCTTTAGCTTCCCAGGAGGCATGGGGTTCAAACCTTACCAAAGGTGAGGAGGGTGTGTGAGTTTATTTGTTGAATCTTCCGTATATAAATATTATATACTTCAAAAAAAGACAAGTAACACATGGTAAGTGCTTACTTGGGAAACATTTAGTAAATGTCCTCTAAGAGAGCAGGAGTAAGATGTATGCAGACAATGGGTCAGTGGCTATTTATATTAATGCCCTTTATTTGCAAGAAAACGTTTTCCAAAAAAGTTTTGAAGAATCTGAAAATAAGAGAATAATTTAAAAGTGAAGAACTTGAGACAAAAAAGATCTGTGGATTTTATAAAAAAAAAGAACTAATCCTAGTAAAAAAATAAGAAACACGATAATCATATCAGATGATAAGTTATGCATGTCCATCCTCAATTGCTAATCTTATTTCCTGATTGGTTGCCCCACACTCCTTCCTCTCTCGAATGTCGTTGTCACGCTTTCTGCCAACCTCATCGGAGCCACAATCTGTCTCGTGGGAGCTTGTCCAAACCATCACAATCTTCCTTTAATCAGTTTTTCAACATAAGGTTAGAAGGAGGAGGGGATTTCCTTACAAAGAGGGCCCGATAGAAGTTAATAAAGGGTTTAAACGATGTAGGACAACAAAGTGATGTTAAAAAGAGAAATTTATATCACCATTTCAATTAAAAAAATATGCTCGTTAAGGGACAAGAAAGCTGAAGCTATATTGGATTTTAAACTTCAAAAACATGGTATAATCAATACAATTATAAAAAACATAATCATGTTATTGATTAACTTTCTATTTACGTATTTTATTATGGAAATGTAAATGTTCATTTAATATTTAACCTTCAAAATTAGTCATATTTATAGTTAAAAATTTAAGTCCAAAACGGGCATTTGGTCTAGTGGTATGATTCTCGCTTAGGGTGCGAGAGGTCCCGAGTTCAATTCTCGGAATGCCCCTGTATTTTTATCTTTTTAATTTTTTCCCACTTTTGACCCTTGAATTTGTTGTACATTTCATAAATGGTCCTCCATTCTACAACCTGGATCATTCCTTTCTTTTTACTTCATTTCTACTCAGCCGTCTTACGGGGATGCTCGTTTTCATCTCTTGTCAATGTTGCTATTCAAATGGGCAAGAATTTTTTTTTTTAAAAACTCGTGAAATTTATCGTAAAAAATTATGTATTTAATGAAGTAACGTGTTTATATTAGAACCTTGGAAAAGCTTGGTATTTATAAAGGCAGAAAATAAAAAATTTAATAGCGCAAAATAGCAACTTGTCCGTTTTTCTTATTAAAAGCAATGTAATTTTAAAATATTTTTTATTAAGACATCATATTTTCAAAAAAATTTGTCCGTTATAGCATTGCGTAACCTTCAAAATTACTTTATTATAACATCACCAGGTTTCTTTACCACCCCGTCGTCCACGTAGGCTATGCACATGTACGATAATGCTGACATGACATTTTTTATTATAACATTGTACTTTCAAAATTACTTTATTATAACATCATCAATTTCTATTACAACATTGTACTTTTAATTTTAATATTTTTATCATTTAAATATTGTAAATTTAATCAAATATGTTTACTAAGCGTATATCCTACAAAAATGATTTGGAAGAGCCAAAACCAAAAAAATAATTATGATCTTTAGTGGACCTCTCAGTAGGATTCGAACCCAGATGAAGTTTTAATTCAAGCCAGAGCCTAAATGGGGGAGGCGAGAACATCTTGATCGAAAGCTCCACTGTTATGAAAAATTATAATATCAGAAACTAACATGTTTACAAAAGATCATTATTTCACGAATAAAAATATTCATAAGACATGTTTAATTTCTGATATTATAATTTTTATGAATATTTTTATCCATGAAATAGTGATCTTTTGTAGTCATGTTTAATTTCTAATATTATAATTTTTAGTAAACATATTTGATTAAATTTACAATGTTTAAATGATAAAAATATTAAAATTAAAAGTACAATGTTGTAATAGACATTGATGATATTACAATAAAGTGATTTTAAAAGTAGAATGTTATAATAAGAAATGTCATGTCAGCACTATTGTACATGTGAACAGCCTACGTGGACGATGATGTGGTAAAGAAACATGGTATAATGGTTAAGTTTAATTTAAAAGGTCAAGAATGCTATCACGGGTAAATTTTTTGAAAGTACGAAGCCCTAATAAAAAATATTTTGAAAGTATATTGTTGTAATAAGAAAAGCTGAAAGTACAATACCATAATAAGGAAATTTGTAAAAGTATGTTGCTATTTCACGCATTTTGCCTAATTTAGTAAATGAGGTTTGGGTGTTAGGATTATATCAAATTTTCTTTTTCAAATTTGAGAGGGAGTCAACACCACTTCTGGCTCCAAGGTGGCTTCGCACATGATTACGGTCATAAAACATAACGTATAAAATCGAACATTTTGAGGGGTTAATAAGAGAAATTACTTCTTATAAGTTTGGAGTTGAAAATGTTTTAATTATAAGTCAAACTAGAAGGAAAGAAGCTGAAAATGTTTGAAGCTCTAGTTTGAAGCTTGAAATCATGATGAAAAGCTGAAAATGCTTGTTTTAGCTTGTTCCTTAGCATCATTAAGGCGATAATATATGGATTCAAGAAGAAAAATTGCATCCAAAATCGTTTTCGATGAGAGATTAAAGTGCTGGTATAAAATAGCTGACTTTTTCTAAAAAGTAAATGTTTTGCATAAAATTCCATTTGTGTAGTTTTATGCAAAATTAAAAGTTGAGATTGAAGGGATAAAGTTATATAAGGTATATACTGTTGTTTGGCGAACAAATCATCATTTCATGGGGATTTTGATGAATCTTCAATGTTAACGAATGTGGATATTCGGTTTGAACCAAAATTTGAGATTTTTTTTATTAATCTGGATATCCAACCTGCTATGGGAGCCGACTAATCCAAGACGACCGTCTGCTTTGCAGATAGCCCGGAGTCACTGCATTTGAGCCTCCGTGGCCACAAAATTTGAGTATTGTTATGTTAGATGAATTTTAAGTAAAAAAAAACTAGATAGGAGAACCTTCTACGCATATCTTAAATGGTAAAATGATCATGTTTTGGAGTTTAGATTTCAAATCAAGACCTTCATATGAAATTTGGGTAAGTGGTCGGTTTGAAGTAGATGGGTGTTCAACTTGTAAAAATCATAATAAATCACTCATAACTCGGAATTAAGCGTATAATACCTTGTCGGAGTGGTTTTCAATGGATTGAAAATGATTGTTTGAATGCGTTGGTAGAATGGATGAACTCATATAAACCATGCATGGGTTGTTTAGGTAGCAAACGATTGGAAGAGTCACATGAAGACTAGAGTGGCGTGAATCTAGGGGTGTACGCGGGTTGGGTTGGGCGGTTTTTGACATTTTTTTACAACCCAACCCCGATTATGGCGGTTTGAAAAATCTCAACCCAACCTAACTTATTCAAAAGTATAACCCAACCTAAGGGTTGGGTTATGAGTTAATAACACACATACTTCATATGTTCATCTGTGCAATGAAAACATAAATTTATATGAAGAAAGAAAGCAACTTCTAAATATCTGTGGTTCGAACTTCTATGACCATCTATGCAAGAGAGAATCATACACTAAAGTGCATATAGATCGTTGACATCATATAATTGCATGTATGATCAATATATTTATCCTTTTTCAAAAGAAATCAAGTAAATATCCCAACTCCTACAAGCTCCTCAAAATTGTTGGTTATGT